CTCTGCAGGTGCCAGGCAGGGTGAGGGCCGCCTGCCCGCTGGCCTCTCCCCTTGGTTAACAGCCAAGGGAAGAATGCAAACCCCAGCCCAAATGGAGAGACATTTACATACGTTTTATATAATATACAAAGAAACCAGCATCCCAGGCAACATGATTTCCACTCCCAACGCTCTCCCAGACTGATGGGTTTGTGGGGGAAACAACAAAAAGAAAAGTATTCTGCTGAGGTCTCAGCACTAAAAAAAAAAAATCTCCCCTCATTTGAGCAAACACCTGATTTAAATTTTGAAAAAGTGAAAATCTGTAACAGTCACACACAAAGAGAGAAGACTGTGCATATGATAGTTGTAGTAGAGGGTAGAAGGAAGAGGATGCAAGAGGCTAGGGGGAAAAAAGGAGGAAAAAAAAACTGAAGGGAAGGGAGGAGACTCACAGTATTATCTTGTCCAAAAGAAAAGAAGTAAGGTCCACTGCAGCACCAGGGATTACACCTGTCATAGATCTGCTACCCCTACCATGGTTATAACTGAATACAAAATTAGATAAATAAAAACACGCCGGATATTACAGTAAACAAGTGAAAGAAATAAGCTGGCAACCGTATGGAATTTAAAAAGATTGTGTACCCCACCTGGGCTGGCTCCAGGGCTCCTCCAGGGGTGTACAACAGGCACAATGCACTGATGGGGAGAAGCCAGTCTGCTCTTGTCTCTCGTCCAGAACAGTAGGTGTGTGGGTGGCTTTATAACTCTCTCACCTGTGCCACTCTCAAATAAGCACCCCCCAAAGAAATGTGGGACATGCCCACACACAATCACAGTCCTGTCGGTGCCATTCCACACACATCTTTCCATTCCTACCCTGCAGTCACGAGTGCATGCTCCCCAATCATGGAGGCGGTCCTATTCATGGGATCGTCAACTCCTGATTAATTGGGAGTAGAAAAAATACAATTCAAAGAATTCCCAAACCACTTGGGATCCATCCTAATTAAATTTATTGCCAAGAGCTGATAAATAGCAATGCAATTGGCCCATCTCACTTATCATTTCTCTTTTCTTTGCCTACTTACTTCGTGGGTTATTGAGCTGTGAAATAGCTTGGGGAGGGGGAGAGGGACGGTAACAGCTGGGGGCCCAGACAATCCACTAGGATAATCTGCTCCTGAATAATCTAGAGTTGATCACAAGCTCTTCTTCAGAGAGCCAGGCACTCCTCAGTCAGAACACATTCCAAGCTTCACTATCCCTGCCTATTTCTTGATTTTAAGACAAAGGTAGGGAGCATTCTTGGTGGACACATCTTGGCTGGATGTTTTCGGAATGGTTATCTTAAGGTGAACATTTACATACCATACCTACCTTTTTTCTTAAGTGCATAAACCCCTAACACTACTCAGATGGCTTGGGCTTTGAGATTGGCTCTTTTCATGGTTTTTTTTTTTTCTTTTTTTTTTTCTTTGAAACTTTTTTTTTTGGATTTAAAAAGATGTCCTCACTGCACAAGTGACTACAGGTTACAGGCAAGGATGGGAGATGGAGGCTTCAACACAACTCATTGCACTTAGAACCGTCACTAACCGAAACACCGTTTGCTTGTCAACAATGTACCCTTAACAGCAGGGAGAAACTTCTTTATAGTCTCTGCTTCAGACAAGATTTACATCTTTCTCCAAGGCCAGAGCCAGTCGTGAGCACAAGTCTTGTTTCTTGTCGACCAGACCCAATCCTCTGGCACCTTGTACCCCCTTCCCCAGCAATCTGCTCGGCCTAGGTTCCAGAGGCAGCTGGAAGGAAGCAGCTATGGGCTCATTCAGTTCTGTTTGCCCAAATCCAGAAGCCCTAGGAAAGTCCTGTCTGAGTCTTGACTCCTGACCCTTGCAGCGGCTGGAGTCGGTACTGGTGCACACCCCCACTCCCGCGGTGTGGGTAGTGCTGTGAATTGGAAACCGCAGATACCCTGGAGGCCTGGTAGGCAGTGGACTGCCCAGCACTGGGCAGACTGATAGTCCGTAAGTCTGATGGCAACGACGACCTAGAGTTCTGAGGAAAGGAGGTGGAACTCAGAGTTCCTGTGCTGGACTGGGAAACCGAGTCTGAGGTCGGTGAGTCTGAGGGGCCCTGTTGGGTAGGGCTAGCAGCACTAGAAGGGCAGCTCCTCCTTGAAAGATTGCTGCCCGTGCTATTTCCAGAATGTGGCTGGCTGCTATAATACCCTGGTGTCCCCGTAAACTGGGCCAACGAGTCTGTGGACACAGGGTGGGCAGGGCTGGAATAGGATGTAGAAGAGAGGGAAGATTCTGAAGAACCATGAGAGGGGGCGTTTCCAGATCTCAGTGCAGTAGTTCGATAACTGTATCCTGGAGACTGGGTGGGATGTCCTCGAAAGGGGGAGGAACTTTGTTGAAGGAGGCTTTGTGATTCTGTCCGTGGACTATCACACTGCAGGAGCTAGAAAGAGTTGGGAAGAAAAGCATAAAGAAGTGAAAAAGTCCCTACTTAAGCTCTTTAAGTTTGTGAATATTTAAAATACTCTCTTTTTTCTTCATCTTCCTAACCATTCATTCTTTTTAGGACATTAAAGATGGCAAAATGGCTATCTCTGGTCACTTTATTTTTCTGCCATGATTTATTACTTGAAGGTGAGCAGATGACTTATTTCCAAGGCTGCTGAAATTATATGCAAAGATGACATCTCAACTGCAAAAGATGGCCAGGATCACAAACATTTGGAATCCAGAACATACTCCTATGCCCAGAGATGAGCAATTTCTCGTCTCACCTGGTAGCTGTATCTGGAAGGGCTGTAAACGGTTGCTCCTTTAGAGAGAGCTGAGCTCAGTGTCTCCGGGCCTTCTCCATCTGCAGGGTCTGGAAGGTTAATACAAAACCAACTTGGCTTCTTAGAATAAGTGAGAAATAGCCATTGTTCATTCAAATCACCAATGAAATCACTAACCCACGCTGCTCTCTTCCTGACAAATCAGATGAGTGCAGCATGCCAGAAGGGCAAAAGGAGTGGTTAATTATGGGCTATGTCTTAAATGTCTGATCTGATTCTTATCTTCTCCTTTCTCTTCATCATTCATCAAGGTAGATTTCCAGGCCTTTAGAGAGATGAGTTACAAAAAAGCATCCCTTGGGAAAAAAGAGCAGACAGAAAGCAAGCAATACTAGATCTTAAGAATGCTGAATTCCAAAAGACTAGAGACAAGAATGAGACGGAACCTTGTACACAGTGGAGCCCAACTACAGAAAGAGCCGACTCACCTCAGCCTAACATTTGGTATGAACTGTGTGGAGCCTGGCTCGTGTGTCCCTGAACTTGTTTGGCAGAAAGCCACAGGCTCACCTGAGTCTTTCTCTGTGATGTTACTCTCCCATGTGGGAGAAGGCTCTCCTTTTTGGGCCACCCTCACACTGCTTCGGAGGACTTTGGGGATGCTCCCTCCTTCTCGGAGTCGTTCTACTGAAGTGGGAACCATCCTGTGAAGGCAACCAGGTGCAAGTTTATGCCACAGGACTTTAGAGTCTGGAACAACTGAAGCTCTGACAAAGGTTGTACAACACAGCCTCTTAAAAACATCCTTTTAAACATCATTTTCCTCAGGATCAATTTAAAATAAGGTATTTTCTCTGCGCCAAACTACGTCAGGCACTGAAGAAAAAAACATAAAAAAAAAATCAATCAAGGAAAAAGTAAATTTAAGGATGTTACTTCTTTTAATCTCCTTTCTGAAATGCTAATAATTTTCCTCTGTGAAGTCATTGCCTGGCACATAGTAGTTTAAGAAATATTTCACAGGTTAATAAACATTATTCATTTGAGCCATGTGCCTTCTTTTGCAGCCTTCATTTCTTCAGTTCAAGTCACTGAACTGCTTTATTCTCTATTTCACTCATTTCATACTGAGTACTTGCCACTAGTATTATTTATTTGTGGTTTCCCCTAAACCAGACAAGTCCTTTCAGAATGTCATGTCTCTCTGTATATACTAGCTGTGTGACTTGAGACTTCTGTTGGTAATTTAAGTGAAATTGAGCTGAACTTCTGACTTACCTTTCATATAAAATGAGAAAATAGAAAAAGCAATATTACTGCCCAACAGATACTAATGCTCATCTGTGTCCATAATTGTATGCAGTCCAAATTGGTGTTCCACAGACTTGGTGGCAATTCTTTGCTTCTGTAAGGCTGGGAGGTTGTGGCTGATACTATTAAATCAGTTAGATGGCACTGCACTTTGGCTGGCTTTCTCAGATAAGTGTTCCCATAGATTTTAGGTAAAACTGGGAAAGATCCATTTAATGATTAAAGCATCAAACATCAACTTACCACCTACTGCTGATATTCTCTTGAGGTCTGCAGTGAGATGAAGTGCCTCTGGAATCGGATGGGCTTACCGCCTCCAAATGGGACATAGAGGAATGCGATGGGGAAAATTTTTTGTGAGGAGAAGATGGGGTTCGGGTTGAGGATCCCTGCACACCATGGGCACCAGTGTCAGAAAGTGAGTTACTGCTGCCTTGCTCAGCTCCTGCAGACTTGCTTTTGCACTGTGCAGAGTCACCTCCCCCACCAGCAGAATTCTCCTTGGCTTCTTGTTTCCGTTTACGGTACTCCAGCAGGGATACCTAGGAAGCAAGTAAGAAACAGGACTCTCGCTAAACATTGTTAGTGGATCAGCAGCAATGGGGAAAGAAGATGGGACCTTAGTAAACCACTAGTGAGCCATGTAAACAAAGTAAACAACACTTGTAACTTTTTTCAGGTGTTAGATCTGAGCAGAGCTACATATTTAAATCAGTCAGAAATTGGTAAGACAAGACACTAGGAGATGACATCTTTGTTCACCAGTAGAATTCAACCTTTTTTCTGCCTTCAGAGAAACCTGTGAGGTCACAGTTACCCCAGTAACAGAAATGTGCTATCAGTTATCTGCAACAATGGTTAGCACCTAGAAAAGGGAGGGTGAAGAGTTGGGAGCTCAAGTAGTTTAAAAAAAAAAGCCTCCCAGGTGATTCTGATAGCTCTTCCTTAGGCCCTAGGAATCCTTACAGTTTTTGTTTTGTTTTGTTTTGTTTAAGAGAGAAAAAAAGAAATAACAATTGCTTCAGGGCTCTTAAATGTACTCGATTTTCTAAGACACACCCAGGGATTTATTACTGATTCTGTCTTACACATAGGGAAACTAACGTAAAACTAGAAATGATTTCTGGTTTCTGTTTTAGCAAGCCAGCTCTATTAAACCTACGCATACTTGGAAGTTTCTTCGCAGCTTGCTGTTCATCTACCTCATTCTTTCCTGACTGCCACAAGAGAACCCTCTCCCTGACCCACCTGGCACACCTCCTCTGTGCTGTTTTAGTACACTGTGCTCACACTGGCTATCGACCCATTATGTCTTGCTTGTTCCCCCACTAAACTGTACATTCTACAAGACCAAAGACCTAATTTATTTGGCTTTTTTTCTTTAACATTCAGCACAGAACTTGGCCCATACAGGCACTCAACAACATTTTTGAAATAAATCAGGATTTCAAGCACTGTTGTACATTAACAAATGAAACCAGAAATTCAAAGACTGTTTTCATTTCTGTTCTTAACAGTCAATGCTGTTCATGCAAGTCTCCTAAACCCACTGCTATCTTATTCCAAATTATTTGGTAGTTTCCTCTTCTTCTATCCACTTAGAACTCTCATTTTTTGTGCAAATTAAAATATAACAAAAATGCAAAGTTAGACAATTTTGTATATGCGTTTTCTATACCCAAAGGAGTTAATAATAAATTCTGGTCATGTATTTTATTGTAATGCAAGTATAAAAAGCCAGTAGGCTACATTTCACCAAGAATACTATGGATATTTTGCAATTATGTGAGACTGTCACACACATAGAACATTTAGCATTTCTAGTCCTGCCCAATAAATAAAAGTTGCTGTGCCAACCCAAAATACTCCCATGCATTTCCAAATGCCCCTAGTTGAAAACCACGGACATAAAAAGCGGCTTGGCTCTGCCCATCTCTACAAAGTCTCCTCTTGAGTCTCCCTACCTTTCCCCTGACACCAGGACAACATTCAACTGTTTGCAATCACATCACATCCCTGCCGCCCACCCAATGGAGTGTCAGTTACTTGTTCTGCTCCCTCTTCTGTAACAACCTCACCCTCATTTGTTGTCTAATTGAGTCCTACTTAGTGTTTGAAATCAGCTAAATCAGTGACCTGTCACCCCTCACTCCACTACCCCTCAAACTGGCCAAGAGCCTCTTTTTGTTATTAAGTACATAACATTTGTTATGTACTCACCACATATCTGACTAGGCTCGGTTTCCTGGTTAAGATGTTCCTACCACATCTGAACAACTCCTTTGGAGCATCCACCACCATTGTAATTAATCGTTTATTAATATAATTAATTATCTGCTAAGCTCAGTCTCACTTGCTATAAGCTTCATCAGGGCAGAACCTAAGAGGCAATATAGCATGGTGGCAGTAAGAGCATGCAATCTGGAATCAGACAGACCTGGGTAGTGTCCTGGCTCTTCCGTTTACTAGCTGTGTGACCATGGACAAGTTATTCAACTTGCCTTTGTTTCCTCATCTGCAAAATGGGAAATTACCCATCTTACAGGATTACTGTGAGGATTAAATGCATAAGAGCTTAACAGTGCCTAGAACATGGGAAGTGCTAACTAATACAATTAATTAGCATTATTCTTTTTCACTGTTCTATCCTTTGAACTGCCTAGCAAATGTACAATATGTATATGGTAGGCATTTAAATTTGATGATTATTTACAACATTCATCAAATTGTATTAAAAGTCTTTCGCTGGACATAGCAGAGACCATGTCTTAATTATCTTTCTTTTCCTCACACTGAGAACAGTGCTGAACACACAGTGGTTAGTAACTTAGTAAATTTCTATCGAATGTTAATGCTCTTCAAAAAGCTCTATATAAAGTGAAAGACTTACCTTTTTCCTCTGTGGTGGGTTCTGGGGGGCAGATGGGACTCCTTCACAAGCCCTTTCACTACCAGGTGACATGGATCCACGAGAGAGGTCTTTCATAAAACCATGCTCATATCTGCTGGAAAACCCTTCTGCCGGGGAACAATATCCCCCATCCAAATGTAAAGGCTTCCTATCCCCTACTAGGGGAGACCCTCGATATAATCCATCTGCTCGAGGCATAGCGTTCAATGGGGAGTAGGCATACATTAGGTTAAACTCTGTCCGAAATGCCTGGTCCGAGTTTCTCACAAGGGTCTGATGTCCATCGCCACTCCTGCTTGGAAAGCCAGTGTCAGAGGTGGGCCCAATCGAGGGATGAGGAGCCAGGTCAGAATGACCTGAGTTGATCAGGGAAGGTCTGTCAGCACAGCTGTTAGTGTTGGAGTCAAGGTAGCCTACTTTTGTCAAGTCCAGGTCTTTTCGGTGACAAAGCTGAAAGAATAAAAATCAATGGAGACATGGGATAGGGAAGAATGGAAAGAGTTAAAGGGCGGAAAGAAAGGGAGACAAGAGGGGCACAATTGAACAGGAAAGAGGAATGGAAGCAGAAGAGAAAAAGCTATTAACATCTGAAAGAATCCCATGTAGCAACAGTGTATACAGGGCAGATCACTAAAGAATCCTCATCTTTCCCAAAATGCTTTCAAGTCTTTCTGAAGAATACTGGGAAAACCAGAATTAGATAATTGGCCAAATGTGACTACTTTGCCTGCTTAGCCTTTCATCAGGTTTGCTGAGTTACCCTGCATTAAGGGACTGGCAGTATAATTAGGGATGGACCTGATCCCCATGTATGCTACAGACATGAGACTAGTGTCTTAAGATAACTGGCTTCTGATGTTATTTATTTCTAAATTAATATTGATGGAAAGTGGGAGGAAAAAAGGTGAAAGAAAGTAGACGAAATATTTAAGGTACTGGTTCAGTAAAGGAGAATGGCATTAAAGACATCAACCAACCAGTTCACTCATTTTCACTATTATTAAGTGGATATGTTTCTCACAAAACCTGGCCACCCTTTTCTTCTTTCTTTACCCTCTAACGTATGTCGACATACCACAAGACTACTAATGTCCATCACTGCAGAGTATCTGAAATGCTAAAATGTATAAAAACAAACCCTGTCTACTATTTGATTTTCACTGCCTCCTAATACCAAGATTTCCATGACTAGGGTCAACTAACTCTCTAGAAAGAATGGTTCAAGAAACCCAGATAACACACGTCAGCTTCCAAATTACACTATCTTGGAATCTTTAGCAGCTGAAGACACAGCGCTTTACTTTCCTCATAAGATAGTGCAAAACCACCCAAAAAACCTGTAGTATACTAGAATACCACCTTTCTCAGTTTTACATTGATCTATAAAATCCTACTTATTCAGATTTTGGTCAACTGTCACTCAGTTCAATACTAATTTTTTATTAGAAGGAAGTGGGGTTAACAGTTAACTTTTAAAAGGTTTTGAGAGACTATAGCTTTCTCTTTAAGAGGAAAAGTTCCATATGGACTCATAGAGTCAATTACTACATTTGTCCAAATCTTCTAATAGTTAAAAAATGCTACCAATAAAATCTGAATTTAGCATCTCCACTGTAGTAGGGTTTCTGAGCAAAGCACTCAACCAACCAGTTGATGTCTGATATCCTAAGAGATAATACTTGTACGGCAACCATATCCCAACCACTGCAGAATGGAGGCCTGTGTCATAAAAGCCATGGGCTGACAGTTTCCTTGTATATGCATTAAGGATTGATAAAGAAAATGTAGAAAGTGGAGAAATATGACTCTCCTGTCCTAAAGAAGCTGCTCAATCAACCAAAGCTGAAAACAACAGAGCTCTCAGATTAACCTGGGAACAGGCATAAATCACAGCCTAACTTCTCCAACATAAGCTGCTCCTTTATCAGCTCAAGATAATAAATATCAAAAGACAGGTCCTATTAACTTTTGATTCAACTTTTCTTATTTAACAGACATTATTTGTTAGATTTCCTTTAACGAGGCTCCTCTATCACATCTTCGGCCTCCTTTAAACTTTACTTTTAGATTCTACTTTTCTTTTAAAAGAACTCTTTAACCACCCCCTCCCCCAAACAACAACAAAAACAAACCCCACCAGGCACACACACAGGCACTTCATTTATCTCCACCTATATTGAGAGTTCTGAGTAATCACAGTCACACATGGCAAGATTCATTCAACTTACAGTGACCGAATGGCCACCCTCCAGCCCAGCACCCCATTCACTTGGATACCTCAGCCCTTCCCACACACTCATGCACACTCACTCTTAACCTCCAAGTGTGATTGAGATGGTGTGATAACTACCTCGGGTGACAGGGACTCGGGCCTATTCGCAGGGTAACTCTCAGGGGAGGATATGTTCTAGAGGAGGGAAAAGCATCTTGTTATTCATCTACTTGAAGTCAAGAAGCAAAACAAAACAAAAAATAAAGTAAAAGCAAGCATAGATGGTTAGCCACAACTTTTTGCAGGGACAGGAGTAGGGATAAAAATGCACAGGGGAAATGTTTAACTACAGAATTCATCTCAACAGACAGAATGACTTGTTAAAATGCTTCCTGGTGCCTTAATGTTTCATGCTATAAGTAAACATCTCAAGCAGATCTTAGGAAAGAGATGGGTGAAATTTTACACTGTTACAGTTGACCCTTGAACAACACTGATTTGAACTGTGCAGGTCTGCTTTTATGTAGATTTTTTTCAATAAATACAGTACTGTAATCATATTTTCTTTCTTATGATTTAAATATTTTCTTTTCTCTAGCTTACTTTATTCCAAGAAGATATAATACATATAACATTCAAAATGTGTATTAATCAACTGTTTATGTTATTGGTAAGACTTCTGGTCAATGGTAAGCTATTGGTGCTTATGTTTTGGGGGTGTCAAGTTATACGTGAATTTTTAAATGAGTGGAAGCTGGCATACCTAACCCCTGTATTGTTCAAGGGTCAACTATATATTTCTTTCTATGTTAGATGAGAGTTTAGCAACCTATAGTATTTGTTATTGCCTGGCACCCTACCACTTAATCCTTCTAAGGAGAACCTTTTTCCTTCTTCACCCTACACCCCATTCTGAACATCACACTTCCTCATTTTATGAGACTCAGGCTCGCCACTGTTATTCAGGGAAACTGCTTAGCATGCTGGGGCTGACAGGGCTAGGGAGATAGATGGCCAGTTCCTCTTATGAGTTATAGAAGATATGACTGATAGAATCTTCAGCTCATAGATGAGATAGTTCTTGGCATAATCTAAATGGATCTGAGCACTCCCTACCAATATTCTCTTATGTTAAAATTCATTGTACTTTTAGCAACAGAGTGGGGGAAGCAGGTGTCTACACTTCAAGTCCCTGTGTCCTAAACAAGTTTACACTTATTAGGGCGTTCACCTGAGGCATCAATTCCATATCAAACAGAAACTGGGCAGTGAACTCTAAAGGGAAGATGTGAACTGTACAATGAGAGAATGATGGCGGTAGTTGTGACAAGGGTTTAGGGTGCCAGGGGTAAGGTAAGAGGGGCAGGGGATGTTCCTTATGTTGTAGACTATGGACATCTGTGTCTGTGGTAGGGGAAATAAGGCTGCTTTAGCAGAGCCACATATTGGCTGTTAGTTTTACTTGGTGGGATGGGTAGTGTGAGATGGATAGTGGAATATGGATCTATTTCAAGGCAGGAAGAGAAGAAAAGGGTCATTCTGGTAGAATGAAGGGGCTGATTAAGTCTGCCTTCCTAATGTTGCTTTCATTCTTTTTCCTTGATGCTTCCTCCTCCTCATGATCATGTTTCCTCAACTCCTTTCCTTAGCATCGGAGAGATTTCTCACTTTTCTCCTGGAATGTTTATTTTTCCTTTCAAAAACATTCTTTCCCCATCCAAGCTGATCTTTACTTGTAACACCTATTGGATATTTCTCTGTGTCACAGTTTTGGATGGAAATAAGGCTCCCAACTACCTATTCTAGAAAATAGAAAAGAGCGTGGCAATTAGAATGGTGATAAGGATGGTCAGGATGGCGAAATGTTTTTTTATTGATTAGAAAGGCAATATATTTCCTCAGTTAAATCATGGGATTAAAATAGTAGAAACATGCATTCAACTTCTTGAAGGGATGGGCTATTTAATATTTTTCTTTCCCTCTTGGTATTCTCACATTATGCTTAGACTATGCATCACTAAAAGGATCTTTAATTTTTTTAAAATGGTAGAACACATTAAATTTTCAGTGTTTCATAGTTATCTAAAGTGCTACACTGAGTGCCAAACTTGGCTGTTTGGGAAGGCAACTTACCTTCTCATTTTTGTAATTTCATGTTTAATTATAATAAAACCTGAAATGACAAAGTATTAAACCCTATTCCTATAATATATTGCCAACAAGGTGAATATCCTTTAATGCAATTTTACTTATCAAATTGTAGTTGCTAACTAAAAAGTTAATTGTAATTATACCAGGTAAACTTAGTAAGGGCTGAATCAGCTCCTTTACTACCTGGTTAAAAAGAATACCACAGGGAATTTGTTAAAGAGTAACTTTCCTAGACACCAAATGTAACCAGGAAATCTTTTTACCCCCCAGAAAGATCTGCTCCAAAAGTAAGTTAATATGATCTAATTGAAGTACAGAACATAGTTGTGTCTCTTGCTTTCAAGGCTGTTAGCTATCTCTGAGTTAGTCATTTAAAAGTCCAGGTATTTTTAATCCCCATGCACTCATAAAAGCTGAACAGGGAGGATGACACTGGTTAGAACATTCACCTTTATAAAAGAACACATCTGTAGAAATGCAAGCTAGAGGCAGAGCTGAGTGTGTTTAGTGACCAGAACAAATTTTTCTGAGAAGGAAAAGACAGTATCTGTTTGATTATAAATCAAAGCAACATGCAATCGATGTTTTTTTATACACATGGAAACCTCAGCAAACCTGCTGTCGCCCGAACTTGAATTAATTGATTCAGAATTAACTTTCTGAAACAGCTGATATACATTTCTAACTTAATCCAGAGAGTGAATGCAACCAATTTTGTCTTAATAAATGCACGTCGCTAGCTTCTATGTCTCATTCTTAACACATTATAAGATGGAAAAGTAACCTGAAGTAGGAAAAAACCTCTCACTTGCCATATATCATATCCCAATGCTTTCTAAATTTCTGTTCACTGAGGCCATAATGAGACTAGAAAACAACAGGGAAAGACACTTCACTGATTTAGCCTAGAAACAGAAACGATTGTTATGAGTTCTTAGGCTGGTATCATTAATGATAACGCGGCAGCTAGAGGCCTATGTTAACCAAAGTATAGACTAAAGACAAAGATGGAGATCTAGCATGCTTACTACCTAAAGTTAAGAGACTGATGGACTGCATGCAAAAGGCAAACAAATGTCATCTGTGGTAGAATTATTCCTATTTTGGAAGTACAGAGACTGCCAAGATGAGAGGCTATCAGGTAACAGTTCACACTGACCCTGAGGTTTCCCATTCTCTTGGTGAGACAGGCAAGGAACATGGTAAAGAAGCATTTGAAATGATATTATATTTGAAATGAGGTGTAAATGATGACTTCATATTCAGCACTCCCAATAACCAAACCCAAATCACCTCAAACTGCAGAGGAGTATTGCAGCGACTAGCAGTAAGAGATGTGATTGGTGAGAACATGAGGCTGTATCCATTTCGACATTCCTCTTCTGGGTGAGATGGGCCAGGTGTGGTCAGCTGGGGGCTCTTTGAGCCTGGATTGGGAGGGGGTGGTGTGACTGGAGAAAGAGGTCTCAGTAACTTGGTGACATTCTGCTCCATCAAATAGCGAGACTTCCATTTCTTTAATGGACTCAACAAGTCTGTGAAATACAAAGCTTGGATGAGAGGACAAAACCATAGCTTAAAAGGAGGCTCTGTAATAAAGCCATTAATCTATAACCCACAATGGCTCTTAACTCCTCTTTTGCCTCATCCCATTGTTATCTCCTGCCATCAAACCAAAAGCCCAAAGAAGCTTAATTGCCACACTTAAAGTCATTTTCAAAACTATTTCCCAGAAAATTGCCAGATGAATCGGACACTTCTGACTGATCATGGACACTTCTGACTGAGCTAATTAATCTCTTTCAATGCAAAATATAATTTTTTTTACACTGAGTTTCCAAAAATCCCAAATCTGTGTCACTTTGTTAAAATCATCCTCTATTTAACGGTCACCAGTACAAGCTTCTGAAATGCTAATACTTCTTTTATCTTCTCTTATTTATTTTTTGCCATTTCCCAGCAGCTTTCTCTAACAGTCTGCTTCAGTAGGAAAGTTACACATGATTACCTGATCCATACCTAGCCCCTAGTTTCTAGAGTGCTTCAAACTGTGAAATTTCTATAAAAACTCCCAGCCATTTTCAAAAACTAGGTTAGTACTTTTTCTCATAAGAATATCCTACTTTCTATACTGCTTAGGTCCACTTAAAAAGGAAGTTACTACTCTGTTTCAGTGACCACTTAGGCCAAAGTACCTATCTCACTTTCTCAGAGGAAAAATTAACTTTTATTATTTACAACAGTTAAAAGATATTTATTTACTTAATACCTACTATATGAAAACCACTGAATGAGGTTATATGGGGGAAATGATCATCACGTAGTCTATTTAAAGGGGCTTACAAATTTATGTATGAGAGAAAATACATGTAAAACATGTTTAATATAAGTTTAAGAATCTCAACAGAGGTGATCACGCTGCGTTGTTAGTGAAAAATAATTATGCTTTTAAGTACTTATTATGTAGCAGGCACTATAGTTCAGGCTTTATATGAATTATCAGATTTAATCTGAACAACTCCATAAATCCAGCACTATTATTATCATCCTCATTTAAAAGATGAGGAATTTGATGTGTAGAGAGACAAAGACGAGATAATCTGGCTCCTATCTATGTTCTTAAACACTAGGTTAAATTATATCCCCCCAGCTTGGCAGAAAGAGTAACATTTACCCTAGGCCTTTGAGGGCACGTTTTGGAACAGTAGGTCATGATCTGAGCTATCCTTCAGGAAGATTACTCTGGCAACAATGGTTAAGATAAGATTAGACACTGGGAAACCATTTGGAGTTAATGGAGTAGATAACAGAGTTAGGAGACACTGAACTACAGTAGCTGAAACAGAAGTACAATGCAAAAAGTACTGGAGATGCATATTTTCCTTTCTGATATCTGAGAATTTATTTTCCTAGATTGGAAGTATATTCGAATTTTCCTTTTGTTCCACATACTAAATTTTCTTATTTTTCTTTTCTCCTTTTGAAAAGTGCCTAGGTATAAAAACAAACAAACATGTGATTCATGACTTATATTTAGAATACCTTCTCTATATTTCAAGAGTCTTAAACAGTCAATCTTTTAAAACACCTCTATATTGCTAGGTCCAACACTGTAACTACTAAAGGCAATTATATAAGTGATGAAGTTCATTGCAGTAAAGTTAGAAAGTACAAGTGAACTCTCTCAAATCAACTTACAGGTTATTCACGTAACATATATTTACTGAGTATTTATTATGATCATCATATTCAACAAAACATGCCTAATGTCCGCCTTTGTGAAGTTTATGGGCCAGTGGTCATTTACCTACTTTTTTTCTATCGAAAGCACTATACTTATGAAAAAGTTTTTTCAAGCTTCATCTTTCCTGTCATACAGAGCTTTCAAATTTTATGTGGTTAAATCTATCTATCTTTTATCATTTTTAACCTTTACTCAAACGCTTCCCAAGACTATATAAACAAACATCCACATATTTAAACACATGACATTTTTACACCCCTCCCCGTCCACCATTAATGCGCTGCTAATCTCCTGGTGTATTTTCCTCTAGACCTCTTTCTTAAGATGGCCTTATTAACTCTTGCCTAGATCGCACTGCTCAACAACCTACAACTTTCACTCAGAAATACATGGTAAAGTTCTTTCCATGACAATAAACAGAAATCTACAATTAGCTTTTAATGGCTGTATGGCATTCATATTATTAAAATTTAACTAATTTAAGTACTTTTCAAAAATTTTTTTGCTATTATGAATATGCCTCAATGACCAATAATCTTGTTCTTACACATTTCTGAATTTATTTTTTAGAACAAATGTCTAGACGTAGAACTGTTAAATGAAAAAAATATTTCTACAGACTCACTAGCTTTATATTTATTCTTGTGTGAATTGTCAGCTCATGTTCTTTAGCCTGCATTCTAGAGGTTTTGATTTTGTTCTTCATTTTCAATGGCTCTTTAAATAATAAGGATGTTGACACTTTGTCAAACATAATTATTTTCTCAGTTTGCTAACTGCCTTTTAATTTTATTCTTTTTTTTAGCTATATAATGTTTTATCTCTATATTTAATTTTTTAACTCAAATAGAGTACAGGATAGTGATTATTTCTTTTATATGCCAAATGGCTACCATTCTTCCAAAATATTTTATAATTATAGAACTATAATTTCTCTGGATTTGAAATATGATATTTACTCTATTAGACCCTGTTATATACATACTGGGCTTAGTTCTCAATGTTATTTTGTATACTTGCTGTCCAAACAGCATTAATATCGACATACAGTTTTAAGTAAAATTGTTTGGGCAATACCAGTTATTCTACTCTAGCTCTCCAAACTATTTTGACTATTCTAGCAAATTTGTTCATGTCACTGAACTATAAAAATCATTTGTCAACCATGTTGATCTACCACCCTCTAAAGTTAGAATTTTAATTGGTGCTGTATTAAATTCATGAGTAATCTGGGGAGAATTCACAGCACCATGGCATGAACTTTCAGCTACTCATGCCTTCACTTATATACCTCTTCATACAGATTCATCACATTTCTAATTAGGTTTACTCTCTAGTGTTTTCTATTTTTTGGTTACTACTGTAGATTGGACGTATTTCTCCCTTTATGATAACTCAATGTTATTGTTAATGTATAAGAATATTTATATATTTTTGTACCCAGCTACCCTTTTGATCTCCACCAGTTTTTCTGTTAATTTTTTTTCCAGATGCGTCATAACTGGCAACTGTTTTCAGACAGATATAAATAAAAGTAATTTTATTTTATTATTAATCATTAAATTCATTTACTATGCTATTACTTTCCCTCCTTCAATTGGCCTGCTAATAAATTATTTATATAAATAATAGTGAACCACTCGTATATTCCAAGGAGAAATTTTATTTAGTCATAATATACTACCTATTCTTTTAATAATCTTATAGATTCAAGATTCAGATCACTGAAATCTAATTCAGAAGTAATATTACGCTTTTTTTGGGGGGGGTTAATTTAATAAAATGAATTGAGTAAAAAATTTTAATGATTCTGCATAGTAGTTCATTAACCACTAATTCTTTCATTCCTTTATCAACTGAAATCCAAGTTGTCTTTATCCTATATTTTTGCAATTATCAATAATTCTATGACTAATGCTTTGTGCCAAAATTTTGGTTCACACTTATTTCTGTAGAATAGATACCTAGAAGAACAACTACTAGATTAAGGAGTATGAATATTTTTAATACCTATGATAGATCTTATCAAATTGTTAGTAGGGATAATACTCCGTGTCATTTTTATTGCAAATCCTTTCTCCCAATATATTTGTCCTCTGTTATTTCAGAGACAATATAGAAAAAGAAACATTGTTTATCCAAGTTTGATTTAAAGAAGTATTTAAATATGTGTAGAATTTGCTTTGGCAAGAATCTTAATCTTTTCTATCACCCAAATAAGATATTTTCTTGGACTAGCACTGAACTAATTTAATTACTAGCTTCCAGCTTCATATTAGAAGCAAGTTTTATACTCACAGGAAGTGTATGTCTCATTATTCCTTTTCAATTTTTTTCTTGGTTCATTTCTTTTTTTTTTTAAGATAAACCTCAATATCATTTAATCAAATTTCAAAAACAAGCTTGTTTGATGGAAACTATATCGTCAGAGAGAAAGAGAGAGCATGCGAGCATGTGCAAATAAGAGATATACTAATTGATTACATTTACTCTTTCCATTAAGAAATATGAAGTTTCTTTTCATTTCCTCAAGACTTTAAAAATATTTCTTACCAACAGTTTGCTCTACATGTCCCACTAATGTTATTCCTAGGCAGTTTCTTAGTTTTGCTAACTTCGGGAATAAAAAATTTTCTTCATTAATTTTCTTAGCACATAAATGCTATTAATTTTTGCATATATACCGCTTATTAAACTTATTAATTCTACATTTTTCAGTAGATTTTTAGGCTCTTCTAGGTATATATTCACATAATTTATAAATAATGAATATTATAAACTTACCTAGCTCAATAGAAATATCTTTCATTTCTAGACAACTTTAGCTTTTAGGAAATTAGAATCTTTAATCTTTAAGGTACTGTCTGTCACGTCTAATTTCTGTAAATGCTCTATAAATGCTCAACAAGAAAGAGTTCGAATATTGACAGTAGTAATTCCTCTTATAGGCCTGATACTGTACTAAGCACTTTACACATATCATTTAATTTAATATCCTATTAGTTCTATGAAGCAGATATTACTATTCCCATTTACACATTGGGCTCAGATATGTTTAGTAACTTGCCCAACATCATATAGTTAATAAAGGGTAAAGCTGGTCTTTGAATTCAGGTCTGTTGGAGTCTTTCTACTATATCGATCTGTCTACCTTTCTTGATCAACATCTCCTTGGTCTTTTTGAGAAAACAGACAAATCAATAACGCCCCCCCCCAAACAAACAAAACTCCTAAACCAAGAAATAAAAATAATTCCGTGTAAAAATAATTACACGAACTTGTAGCAATATACAAATCACCCATATGACAACTGCTTGGTTTGAATTAACACTGTCCATCTATTTATGTTGCTACTTAAGGGCAAGGTGTGTCCTTTGCATGTTCCTCACTGCTAGAGATGAAAGCATTAAGTTCAATAAGGGTTGGTAACTAACAGTCCCAATTCCATTCCAAACAAGGCACATAGTAACACAGGCACTTTTTTTAGGAGTCTTTGCTGGTCAGGACATGAACTGCTACACAACCTCCCTTTCCAAACTTCAAATATGGACACACATCATACACAAATACAAATGTGCATATGTGTGCATACTAAATGGAAGATTTCAGTTAAGTTATATATTCTCACTATACTGTAAAGGTTGCCAATAAATTGATAATATTCAAGGACATCTGGTTTGAGTAAATTTCCCTAAATCTCTGAAGAAGTGAGTAAAGTACTTTAAATATACATTATCATTTATATTCCAGATGTTCCACGGTGGGATTTTTATCTTGGGATTACACATGTGATAATTTGTAAGGTATAATCCAATCCAGAGACAGAAGAATATACTAAGTCAATAATTTGGGGGGGAGGGGGGGGTTGGTGGTGGAATTTTTAGTAGCCTACTTTTCCCCAAATACATTATACAAAATTTTAATATAAAGTAGATATTAGACAAATCTATTTAAGTTTGTATTTACTCAGTAGGTCGATGAATAGAAATGAAGTGGTTTTTATGAAAATCTGAAATATTATCATGTTAGCTGTAGCCTTATATGACTTTTAGCATCTAATTTATTTTGGCATTTTGCTCTGATTGCATAATAACCACAAAATTTAGAGATAAACTTATGAAAATCACAGAGAACTTTTCAATTAAGCTAATATTGGCAGGAGAAACTGGTAAAAAGACTGTTTCAAAATAAGTAAGTTGGTGTCATAAGTTCATGCACCAATGATTTCAACTGCAATTTAATCAAACTCCTTGCAAGAGTCACTGTGAAAAACAATGGATAAGATGACTTTTCATGATCCTGTAGTTTAAAAATTTATGAGGACTTTAAATTAGATTCAGGGCCATGTCCTCTAAAAATAATTTTTGCTAACTGTGCAAGCACTTTTAAAAACAACCAATTCATAATAATTTCTTATTTATTTCATTCATCTCCTGACCCTTGAACCAAGCCATACCCAACTCAATAACCTACAACAGTGTCCCACACATCTTTATTTTCCCTCTTATAAATATGGATAAAGATTTCCTAAACTTACTACTTTAAATGTATCTAACCTTTTAATAACCATTTCTGCTGTTATCTGTACACTGTCTAGTTCCTTCTTTGTCGTCCTGGGAAAACTGATCCCTGACTTGAGATCTCTTTCTTCCTCTGTAAAGACAGATGTAAAGTAACTATTTAGAGAGCAAAGCTATTTCCTCTTTGTATCAGACTTTTTAAAATACTCATACTGAAATTTTTTATGTGGACCTGAAATAATCGTTGCTCATATATTCCAAAAAGTACATACCTGCATTGTCTTTGTAGATACTAGAAGTGTTACTATTCTCATTACTTTGGTATAGATGCTGAGTTCTAGTCTCTTGCGGTACAGATGATGTTTGAGTCATTCCTTCTTCCAAGGCTTGCTTTATCCAGCGCTATAATGGGAAAAATCAGGGAATTGTTAATAATCATTTAAAACTATTTAGTATACCTATTTTAAATGCATTAACCAAATCATTACATATCAACTGGTGAGAGATGCAATCCAACACATTCATTCAATTCCACAGTCAAGTAATTTTTTTGCCTTGTGTTTCAGCACATTAGAATATTGCCTCATCAATTCCTTCTACTGCGCAAAATTGAGAAAACCTGGATTACACATGAGATCTCATCAAAATATCAAAACCAATAAAAAATGATTACTACTCAACTTTTCATATGGTTTAGAATGGGGTAAATGGGAAGAAAGAAATCTTTGCATTTAAGAAAGACTCAGATCATATAGATAAAACTAGTACATAAGTGCCTAGAAGGAAGATAAAAGGTCTTTTAAGAGTAGCCTACCCTGTGCTGGGGATATCTGAGGAAGTAATAGAAAAGATTCATAGGAAGACTTTGAATGAGAACAAATAGCTCTTCACTACGAAAATACTTCTAAAACGTCTACTATCAAATGGAATATCCTTGAGTTTTTTCTCCCTATCAAGTGGTTTGGTTAAATTATGCATGAATAATGAAAATCACCAGAATGACCTGCAGAAATCAAAAAGGGGAAAAAGTCAAAAGGAGCTCTCTTAATCAGTCACATTTTTTGTAGTGAATATTGGAATCTAAAGGAGGAATAAATTTAGGTCAGAAAGTAAGCCTGTGAAGATCAGTGTAATAGAATTATGCATCCTGTGGAAGAGAGAAAATTTCTTACCTGTAATTGTGTTCTCTTAAGATACACAGTTGTAGGTTGCTCACCACTCTGTGGCTCTCCTGCCCTGACATAAGACAGATCGAATTTTGATAAACATCAATTTCTGAGTCAGACCCTCCCCCAAATAGGAAGAGCAAAGGTGATTATAATTTTACACCTTTAGAGAACAAGTATTACAGGTAAGTAAATATTCTCTTCACCAAAGAGCAAGTCTAGTAGATTTATCCTCCTAGAAACTTAGGAAATAATGTGAAAAAAATTTCACCAAGAAAAATTTTACATCATGTAAATGGCATTGTAGTCTGCCAAATGAAAGCAAAAATAAAGTTGAAAACATGAGGTAAGAGCAAATAGGTATATAAAAAAGAGATCTCAATGGTCAAGTGGATCACATCAACATTGTAGGACATGACCAGGTCAAAACGAGACCAAGAATAAATTGCTTTATACAGAATACTCATGTAAAGATAAACTGTCAGAACCATATCTCCTTACGACTTAGAAGATTGTAGAGATAATCTTGTCCAAAGCACTCACTGTATAGATGAGAAAAATTAGGCCCAGAAGAAAATGGGTAAAAAATCATTTGTTGCAGTTTAGTACAAGTTTTTCTTTTCAGAGCAGATAACAGGATTCAGATAACTGAGGTTACTGTGCTTTTCTACTAGATAAATTAATTTCTTTATTTCCTTGTCAAGCAGATACAATACACCCATAAAAGAATTTACATTCTGGATCTGATGACTACAAAAAGGGAAAATAAAACCAGGACACGGGCATTCTGAGGAGTAAGATGCTGCTATGATTAGATATAAGGTCAAACACAGCAAACATGACCTAACCCATTCCTCCCTCCTGGCCCTACTGTTATGTCCACATGGTATTTTAGGGCCCATAAAAAAGTAATATGAACATCTGTTTGTATCTAACAAGTTCTAATCATCCCTATAGATAATAAATTAATTTCAGACACCCCACCTCTGAGTTCTAGCTACAGTTAACTAAGATCAAAAGAATATTTCTTCTCTCTCTGAAACTCTGTATGAAAGAGTTGTTTAGGAAGCTCAGAAATGAGTGAGAAATGTTTTAAAGCAGGGGTCTCCAAACCCTGGGCCATGGACTGGTATCAGTCCCTGGCTTGTTAGAAACTGGGCCACACAGCAGGAGATGAGCAGTGGGAGAGCAAGCGAAGCTTCATCTTTATTTGTAGCTGCTCCTTATCACTAGCATCACTGCCTCATCTCCACCTCAAGTCATCGGGCATTAGAGTCTCATAGAAGCACCGGTCCCTGATGCCAAAAATGTTGGAGACTACTGCTTTAAAGGATAAAGAGTAAGGAAGTAATTTGGGTTCTGGAGTCCAAAGATCTAGGTTGAAACCTGGCTGTGTCTTTTATTACCTACCTAACTCCGGGCAAGTTACTGAACGCTTCTGAGCCAAAGCTTCTGATCTGTAAATTGTGGCCAATAATCCCAACTTCACACTTTGTTATTATTATGTGCTAAGAGTACATCAAATAAATTTTACGCATAAATAACAATCACATTCATTTTCTATATGTAGATTTGGTTATTATCTCCATTTCACAGATATCCAAACGGAAACTTTGAGAGTTTATATAACTTTGCCTTCACAGATTTAGTATGGCTAGAGCTAGAATCTTAACAAAGGAAGTAAGATATGGAAGACAATGCCCTGAACCACTAAAATACACTGTCTTCTATAGCAGGGATTCCCAGTCCCTGGACTGCGGAAGGTACCAGTCAGTGGCCTGTTAGAAACTGGGCCACACAGCAGGAGATGAGCAGTGGGAGAGCAAGCGAAGCTTCATCTTTATTTGTAGCTGCTCCTTATCACTAGCATCACTGCCTCATCTCCACCTCAAGTCATCGGGCATTAGAGTCTCATAGAAGCACCGGTCCCTGATGCCAAAAATGTTGGAGACTACTGCTTTAAAGGATAAAGAGTAAGGAAGTAATTTGGGTTCTGGAGTCCAAAGATCTAGGTTGAAACTTGGCTGTGTCTTTTATTACCTACCTAACTCCGGGCAAGTTACTGAACGCTTCTGAGCCAAAGCTTCTGATCTGTAAATTGTGGCCAATAATCCCAACTTCACAGGGTTGTCATGTAAGACAATAGGCTAAGTAAGACAATATATGTGAAGACAGATTATAGCACAGAACTGGGTACACATGTTCAGTGAGGACTTGTTTAGTTGAATTTCAATGCTATGTATAGAGACAGAGAGATTAATAATCCTCCAATGTATACAATGAAATAGCAATGCAAAGCACAGTGTTTCATTTTCAATCAGGCTGATTTTCTAAGAAGTCTGAGAGACTAAATGACCCATAAGGTAAGTTTAGAGAAGATTTAGAGAGAACAAGGTAAGTTTAGAGAAGATTTAGAGAGAACAAGGAAGGACACCACTGAAAGACTTGTTAGCCACTTATAAATGCTTCCTTTCTAAAATAAGGATTGAAGCAAGGCTCAATGAAAGATATACATACCATAACATGCTTTTTAAGAACTATGATTCAATTTACTTTAGAAACTCCAGGGGCATCATAAAATGTTCTGCCAAATACTCTACAAATCTGGGTGCAAATATACATATGCAACTTTACACCAAGTTTAACTTATAAGGCTTTTACCTCCTTTAATTAGATATGAAACAGTAGGCCTATTAAGAATATATACTGTTTTAACTAATCCTGCGGAAGATGGTTTTTCTCGTCAGTTTAATTATGGAAATCTTCTCAGGTCCTAAACTAAATACTTTCTAAGCAATCTACAAATAACTCTTCTCCATCCTCATCCAGGATAAAGCTGAGTTCAATTTCTAAATAAAAGACCCATTTTCATTAGTGTTGCCCCATAAAAAGCTACATTCTGGTTTTATAGTATAATCTTGATATGTGAACAGCAAATCTTAAAGCTGTGATTTAAACATAAACAATTCAGATCTAAACTTAAACAAGATCCAATTTAAGTAAGGTAATTTTACTATGATAATTCAGCATACATAGCCTGAACTTTTCCTGAAGACTGGTATGATACATATAGATGAAAGTGCCTAAGTGGAGCTCATATAAAACAAGACTAAGGACGGTCAGACGCATTTGGAGAATATAGTATGGACGAGTTAAATGGAACTTCTATCTGTTGCCAGTTGAGATACAAAGATGAACTATATAGATACAAGTTCTAAACCATAACCATGTAAAAAAAAGCTCTAAGAAATGGATATTCTATCAGATTTGAAGTCAAATTCATAGACATTTTGGTTTTTACAGGACTCTGCTAGTTGGAAAAGCAAGATGGGAACAGAAGACCATAGCCCAGCACCAGAATGATCAAGGCATCATTTCAAGAGGCTAGTCCATACTATTTACAATTTGGACTTCACTATTAATCTGTACTAAATAACTGTCTACCCTTTGTGAAGAACTGAAATAGGAGATTCTACTACCTTGCTTGATAAGATGCTTCAACAGTTAACACCTTTAGAAGTCTAGTAGTATATCCAGTCAAAAACAGAAAAAAGAAAGTTTCTTTCATATATATATTGAGCCATCTCTTAACTTGCTCCTCCAAACTAAAGACCATATCTATACTTTCTCTAATTGTTCAATACTACTCTGAAAATGCAGTTAAGATTTTGATCTGTTACTATTAATAAGGGACTGAGCAAAATGTCATAGAAAGGTTAGTTTCCCATGTCATACCAGAGTTATTACAACTAATTATCACAGAATAAGGGTAATCATAAAGCTTGATAATTGGCAAACATTTGTTTTTCCTTCTCAGATAATCACTAAGATCCAAGATAAGTGGCTTGGTGTAAGAAAGTATCCCTAGAGACCGAACGCTCCTTTATTACCTAGGTAAATTTCTAGTTTATTTTTTTCTTAAGAAAGTTTTCATTGTTATTTCTGACAACTGAAAGTTATTTATGTTACTGCATTATCTACAAACTCTTTTGGCAAATACCTTGTGGTCAAATTTCTCTTTAGGAGTTCTACTTGGGAATTTCCCCCAAGTAAACCAATAAGTGACTTAAATATTTAGGTAAGATGTGTGATTAGGGAAGACTTTTTTTAGTGTATGTGGCTCATTCAGTGATAGGGTCCTTCCTCTGTGCGCAGATCCCTGTTGCCCTCCCCTCCATATCCCACACCACTCTGGCTCATCTTTCATGCCCCCCTCCCCCAAGAAGTACTTTCTGCTCTTTGGGGAAAGAGAAAAGCTTTAAGTTTGGAGGAGTCAGGGAAGACCTGCCTGGAGTTGGAGACTTCATCACATCAAATAATCTACATGCAGCATCCTCATGTACGTGATGCCAGTGGAGGAGGGCAATGGCAGACACTGAGGAAGGCAGCCTGAATCCAGATCTGAGGATAAGAGAAAAGGGTGTTCCAGGGAACAGACTCTACCTCAAAGGAAGACCAAATGAAAGGGTGTCCTATACTTCTAGAAACACAAAAATGACATTACAGTCTGAGGGAGTGATCTATTCCAGAGAGACACCTTTGGAAAATATTTGGGGCTTCTGGGAATTAAGAAAGAGCATTCCAAAAAACAAACAACCATCAAACACTACTGCCACTAGATCCAAAAACAGTATGTAACTAGAGAGGAGAGAGAAAGAGAGAGAGAGAGAGAAAATGAATTTTATAGTAGGTTCCATATTCACTAGGGAATAAACAGTCCAACTTGTCATTTGATCAAGGAACAGAAATTATGTCAATTTTAATAGGACATTCCTCTACTTGCATTCAAATGATAACAGTGATTGAATTAATTTAAAACATAATTCGATCATTTTTTACTTAAGCAACAGTGCTCTAGAGTATTCGGGGCCCAATCTCACTCAATAGTCACGAATGGACATGTTAACCAATACTACAAGAGTACACACAAAACATCCCTCCCTACCCAGGCATCAAATGCCATGTGCTCTCAACTTAGTAACCTCAAAGGCTCAGAAAAGACAACAGTGAATACTCATAAACAGAGCACCAAAAATGCAGTATACGCCCCACCTTAGTCCCACTGACATTCGATGCATCAGTATTCACGGCTGAACAACTACCTCATGATAAATTCACAAGGGCAGAGAGTGGCTATCTAGAGAACATTAGATATGTCATGATTACAGACATCCTAGGTTAAAAATAAACATAGACATACCTTTTTACAGGAGCTGAAAGTGCCATCAGGCAGAAGGGGCCTTCGACGCCTCTCGGGGATAAAGGGTGAGCCAAAGCGAATGTAGTGTTTGGGGGTGGTGCAAATTAACGGGGAATGGATAAGACCGGGTAACATGTTCAGGGTCGTTGCCAGTACAGTTGGGTCCGTGGTGATACGTAAAGGGCACTCAACAGGGCATTCTTGCTTCTCTGCTTTGTCATTCAACCATTCTGTAACTAGATACTAAGGTAAAAAAGAGATCATTAGTTGATGCTACAGATGTAAAAGCCAGAGGCAGCAGTGCAGCTCATAAAGACAAATCTCATCTAGAAACTAGGAAATAGGGACGGTAGCTGTAGAAAGCATGAATTGGGCATTCGGAATGCAAGATGTCTTCCTTCACCCTCCCTGTGATCACCAAGGAAGGAATAATTCCAGATATTAGCAATTTAGCTCTGCTTAAAAATTATGGGAACAAAAACATGGTAGTAGGATGGTTTCAGCCTCTGCACCAAAGTATTTTATCTGAAAATTTCAATTTAATAACACTTTCTGGGGAATCACAGGTCCTCTCACTTTCCTAAGACATAGCCCTTACCAGACTAGATTTATGAAGATGTATTCATGACTTACCTTTTTGGTTTTGGGGTATTTAGATGCAGCACGGTTGATGTGGGATCCAGCAACTGATACCACTATTGGGTCAGACCCTGTTAATTGCCTGTTTTCTCCTGAACTGTCTATACTTCCGGCTTCAGTAGGAGTTACTGAGCTATTATTTCCTCCCTCTTCCAAGGCAGCTTGTGACAACTCTGCCTGCTGTGCAATGGCCTGCTTCTGACGCTTTAGTCTTTGGGCTGAACTGGTCCGGTACCGAGAAATTCGACTCTTCGGTCGGGGCCTAGAAGGCTTTGCTGGAGGTGGTTTGGGAACTGGTTTTTCTGCAGCAATATCCTATAACAATAGCAGAGTAAAATACTTATCAGACATTTCTTGTCAGCAAACATTCTATCCAGTTTTCTATTCACTTTAAGCATTCTGAATATTTACTGGTGAAAAGAGTGAACATTTACAAACACTAATTTCAAATGTAATCCTTACAAAAATTTATACATTTAAATTAGCTAAAGAGGCTGTAGGTAGATATCTCAGTTAGCTATTTCTTTTTCTCATAAGTCATTTATAAAACAGGTCAAAAGTCAGCTGATGGAAGACACCTAATTTTAGGCTTCTTAGCAAAGAAGATAATACTCCTTTTGTTTCTTTCCCAGATACTAAGGTTTTAGCTTAAGGCTTAGAATTCACAGCTAGGGTAGGGAAGGGAAAGGTGAGTTTATCCTGAGAATACCATGAAAGGTGCATAACTGTGCTAGATAGAAGGGCCAAGAGAAACCAAATGATTTTTATGAACTCACCACCAAAGTTTATCTGGCAGAAATAGTATGAAGTTCCATTCTAGTCTAAGTGTCTAGTCATTCTCTCTCTCTGAATCCCACATATCAGTTGATGAAAACGGCCTTATTACAACACGAGGCAAAGCTGAAAATGCTGACTTTAACCATTCCAAAAGACAGGTGACTTATTAGCAAAAGCAAGGCTGTCGAAGGCCTGGAGTCTTTTCATCTCTTACCCCAGCTTGGGAAGACCTCCGGGTGTTCACTCCAACACTCTGTGGGGTGCTTGGGATGGCCACGTTTGAGGAGTTACTAACTTCAGATTCAGGGGCTTCAGTTTTTGTTTCTTCCCCTACAGGCGTCTCTGAGGCGTTGGTAGTAACCTCTATGTCAGAGTTGCATTGTTCCAAGGGCTGATCCCGCCGCTTCTTTCTTTTCTCTAAGTTTTCAAAAGTATGTATGATGGCTTCAACCTTCCTATCTTCCCGGGTCTAGAAAGAAATAGCATTAGCATAGAAAGAAGCCTTAGCCAGGAGAAGGGGACAGCTTTTTAGAAATATTATTAATGAAAATTTATAGACATTTATAAAAACTACCAGTAAGACAACACATTTAACTTGAGGAAAAAAAAGGTATAAACTAAAAAATAAAATGTTTAAGTGTTAGAGTTGTAAAGGAAGGCTAGGTCAAACCTGAACTTTTCAAAGAAGGCCAGCTATTCTGAAACTTTAATATAAAGAAAAAATAGCCATCAAAACCAATATTCCTCTGTTATTTTCAGAGTTCCAAAATAATCAAGTAGATTTTCTTAAACTCAGGGACAGAAAAAACATACATGGATTAAGCAAAAAGGTAGACTTTTTGAATCCATGTGACTGACAGGGATTTTTAAATGTGAAAATTCACACAAACTTCAAAAATTCCCGAGTCAGAGCAAGTAGCCCCAACAGAGACATTTTGTTTCGACCAGGCAGTGTGTTTTGGAAATGATATTGTTAGTAAGAAGCTCCTTAAGACCATCATCAGATAATAGCCATTAAACAACTACTATATGTGTCTGTGAAAAAAAAAAAGGAAATCTACAGAAAAAGCCCAAATTATAACCCATAGGCAATAGTACAGTATGTTGTCAAAGAAATGAGATAATATAAACTCAGAATAGAAGGGCCATACATACTACAGGTGACAGGAGTCAGTAGGAACAAAAAGCTGTTAGAAGGTACCTACCCTCCTGCTATGAGCTGGGTTCTCCTGGTCATCTGTGACATCATCTTTCTCTTCTTCTGTTTTTTCTTCTGGATTGTCTATTTCCTTGAAGATAGATGCAATATTCAGCTGTACTCTTAAGCTCTTGAAAAAATGGCCACCCCCCCGCCTCCGCCGTAGCTTGAAACTCTGTAGGAACAATTTCTAGCACTTTATAGTGTTACTCATGTGAAGCCACACAGTAAACACAGATGGTAAGCCCCATTCTCTGGACTGAGACCTGGAAAGTAGCTGAAAGGATGTTCCTGACATTCAAAAATATAAGATAGAGTGAATAAACATGCATCCACCTTGATATGAAGGGCATTAAGTGTTACTATAGATTCCCTATATGAAATAATATGTGGCAACCTGGAATCCTCTTCATTTGGAGAGAATCAGTAACACAGCGATAGCCTCTGGCCAGGGGAGATTACCTCTTGGTCACTGGATACAGTCACTTTATCAGGAACTTGTTCTGGCTGAGGGTTGGTATCCTCTTCCAGAACGTCATTCTGCTGTTCCATCTCTAGCTCTTTCCGCCGTGCTTTTCTCCGTCTTGTCTCTGCTCCAATGATGGGCAGGCTTGGGGGAGGTGGGAGTGGCAGTTCTGCAGCATTGGGATTCCTTTTCTGTATAGGGCAGTTCCGGTTCCCCTTGTGACATGCACAGTCCACTTTGTAATTACTGCTCCAAAGAAACAACCAAAAGTGTCAGTCACAGTACCCTCAAATACCAGTTACATTATTTATTCTCTTGAAATATTAGTATAATAATTTCCTCCAGTGTTATCTTTAAATAAGTTAAACAGAGACATTAGAAAATTCTACGAATACTTTCAGTATTCTGTTTTTCTCTATATAACCCCAATTCTTCCCCTATATATGGTCAGTGGAAAGGAAAGTCTGAACTAAATTACATTCTCCCAACTTCTTTATGCTATTTGGTGGGCAGTGAATCAGTGACAGTCTGAGGTGGCCATACTCCTCTTCTAACTATCTTCAAAACAGCCTTTTACCGACCAATTTCCTACTTGTTATTCATATCTTTTCTTCCTGTACATGTGCCAAACATTCAATTTACCACATAACCTTTTCTGCCTACAAAGACCAAGGGAAAAAAGCATTGATTTTATAAAACCCATCACACACTCATCTTTGACCAGCTAGCTATCTGTTCTTCTGCACTGTCACATATAACTAGATTGCATGCTTTGAGTAAGTATGGCCCCTGGCACAAGTGCTGTGTGCATAACAACAGATGCTGCTGCAATTTCTAGAAGTGTCTTTACATATCCTTTTCGCTATTCTTGCTATAGAGGCCTAAGCTAAAATACCCTTGGTTAGGAGCCTGGTGAGCAGTATCACACTATGTACCTAAGTCTCTAAAAAAAAAAAAAGAGACAGATCTGGCACAAAAGTAGACTTAATAACTTAATATGTAAGACAAGGCTATTCATGTTAGGAAAGGTTTTAGAGGTCTTACCAGTTACTGTACTCATAATCAAATGCTATGGTGACCTCAGCATCCTTGGTAATGGCAGACACAGCATAGATACACAGGTGAATCATTCCATCTGCAATCATGTGTCTCACCTGTGTGAACAAGGCTTATGTTTGATAATTTATCATAAAGACCAGGAACTCTCCAAAAGAATAAAACTTTTTATCCAAATTAGTTTCTCTCCACTTAGAGTTAGTCTGTTATGTAATTCCATCATTTTATTTGAAACTATTATATAGTAATTGTTAGAAAATGTATGCTATTTCTTCAATAAGTAAAACTTGAGATATTAGAAATCAGGGTAAAATCAGTGCTCTACATCATAAAGCTGTTTTGAGAGAATTTAAATTCTGTAGACTACAAGAAAAGTTCTGTGGATTTTCTTGCCACATTTGATATGGGTGCATGGATTACGCACTGAGGTAATCAATTCTAGAAATGTCAAGAATCTCTCTTACAAGACTATTACCTAAAAATTAAAAAAAAAACCTGCAACCACACAGCTTAGTTTGGGGCCTAATGACATATTTTTCTATTATATGGTAACTTCTTTAATATAACTTCTTACCCAGTCTTAATATGACTTCTTATCCAGTCTCATGCTTTCTTTAGCAAACGCTAACTTGCTTTTTCCCACTTCTGTCCCTCTAAAGAAAATCCATTCCTTGCTCCCATTCTTTCAGAATATAAGCACTATTACTTTTGTTTTTTGTCTCTTACAATGAAAGATCATAACCATTACCTACAGACCTTAATCTGGGAGTTTTCGCACTGCTTCTTCAATAGACTTGTTCTTTGGTGGTTCCATTCAAAGAGAAGTTGCTACAGAAATCTTACCTCTGCATTTGGTGTACATGATCTTCTGATGAACCGAGCATCATTACCGAAAGTACGTGCATCCACACACATCTCTACACCATTGAATTTTGAGTAGAAGAGCACAAAGGGGTATGGTCTAGGGATATAATTAAAATTCCTGTAATTCTCAACACAAATAAAAAGGCTACCCCATGACTTCAAATATGAAGCATATGCTGACAGCAGCAGCAGCAGTCCTTTGCAATGCCTAAACTTGGAAAACATCACATGCTTGTCTGCTTTTGATTAAAGAATAAGCACAAAGCAAGGAATGCTTGGCTTGGAAAAAAGTCATCACCACTTTATGCATTAAACAATTTGCAGATTTATTTGCACTTCTCTAGAAATAGCAGATAGGCGTTGAGTTTATTTGAGCTGTAATCTTTTCCCCTATCAACCAGGATGATTTTTATAGTCATACTGCTCAGCCAGGCCCACTTTAGCCCTCACCACTCAATGAATGACATTCTTACTTTTTGAAGAAATGCCCATTGACCTCGAATTGCTGTCGTAACATGACTTTCCCTCGATACTCTATTATAAGAGTGTCCAAAGCCAAATCTCTTGCAGCCCTCAGGATCTTCCGGTGCTTTTGAACACGAGTGACTCTTCCCAGCTGGAGCTGAATAAAACCAAGTATTAACATTAGACAATAGCAACAGCAGCTTAGTAGACACAAAAAAATACTAATTCAGGAAAAGATATCAATATTTTTAGATTTTATTAGTATATGTTACTTAGCTCAATGAGCAGAAAAACTTGGTATTTCTAGGAAACAGACACCATCTAGTGATCTTGTCACTGTCCCACCAAAGGCAAGAAAAGATTAAAGATATATATGCTTAAGATGTTAGTGGTTATATGTCTAATGTAAGAATGAGAAAAAAAAGGTTAGCTTTCTATTAATAAGTCCTATTGAGGCAGTAAAAAATTTTCCACCCTAATTTATCTACTTTTAATGAATAAAGATAGTTTAAAAATATATATCTGGATAGTTTCCAGTTACTTTAACCTATTTTTAGTTAAAGATGCTCAATAATTAGCTAATTTTTTATTCTAAGGTCTTGTATATTGAAAGAAATGATAACTCTCATATATGCCCTCTTTCTGGGTTGCTAAAATCTCAACTACTTACTAAGAGTCATTAACTCTTTGATTCTTACCTGCATTTGGGAACCAATGACTGTATTATTACAGGCCAATTCAGTCTTATTGATAGTGTCTAAAATAGCAGGTTTGCCCACGAATTCCTTGCTAGAATGTAGATGTTGTTCAAGGGCGTTCTGTACATCTGCACTGTACTGATTAGTGAAAGCTTCTTCATACTGATCAGTCCACAGTCTTATCCGATTTTCCCATCCCTCAGTTGTATTCTCATCTAAATTCTGTGCTTCAGAAGGCGAATTCTGTAGAGAACAAAGGTCAGCTAGGTTAGTAGAGTTGATGAAGAAAAATGAGAGGGGGAAACAGGCTGAGTCTGAGAAAATTTGTTTTTGCTTGGCAGTTGGTGTGGCATAAAAGAATAATGGCCTTGGAGTCAGGGGATCTGGCCTCTATCACAGTTTCATTACCAATGAGCAGGGAGGCCTTGAACAACTTCTTCGAAGAGCTTAGTTTCCTCATTTATAAAGTGAGAATTTAATCTGGATCATAGTTCCATCCCATTGCTGTGATTTTATGACTATTTTTAAGTCAAAAAAATCAATTTTGTTCTTATTAGAATGATATCAAGTTCACAAGAAAATTTTTATAAAAATGAACAAGAAACCCCTCAACATAATCACACGGCTTAAATGTCAACAGTTCTCAAACATCTGCATTAGTATGCCAGCCCAAACTGGTATTATTTTATTTCTCTTCAGGAGAATGTTTTTGTTTTTGTGTGGCTTATTATTTTCATCATATGATTAATACAGGTTAATTCTAAATATACATGTGACCCAAATACACAATAACCCATAATCTCACCTCCTATATAGACAGTTATAATTCTGGAGAGTATCTAACACCCTATTTTCGACAGTTTAAATATCTACACTCTGAAGAGG